TTTACTCAAGTACTGTACTTTACTACTACTTTATATATTTTGTGCTAACGTAGTTTTTGGTTTGACTCTACAACATGCCACAGGGTACACTGTACCTTTTACAGACAATTATAATTACTTGATGTATATTTTACATACTTAATATGTAATGAGCATATAGATAGATAGATAGATAGACATACTTTATTGATCCCAAGCTGGGAGATTGCAGTGTAACAGCAGCATTACACACAGTAACAACACAATAAGTAAAGAGAACAACCTAGACATATAAAAAAAAGCAATATAAAATGCAATATAAAAAAATTATAAATAAGCAGTATAAGTGTAGTGCAAGTAAAACTATAAATATATAAATATATATAAATATACAAGTATCACCAGCAGTAGCATTAAAAGGCATTCACAGACCTGATAATGATGCAGTGTCCCTTACAGAAGCCATTCTGTGTATTGAGTATTTTATACTTTAAGTACATTTTGCTGGTAATATTTCCAAAAAGTTAGGATATTAAAAATTGGTGAAACACAGGGCAATTAAATCATGAATAGTCCCTTGAAGTCATGACAAAAAACATGTAAAAAAGTAGCCTTTTAAAGTTCCCCCTTGCTTTATATTTACAACGCAAGAAAACTTTATGGTTGTTGGAATTACTACTATGTTGACTTTTCGTTTCCCCTATAACTCAGCCCTGCCTTGCAATGCTTGTTTGTTTGTTTCACTAATTATTGTGTGTACTAGTAAAACTGAGCATCACAGGGTGCACAGGGAGAGTGTGCTTCCCCCATGTAGGCAGCGGCCAGGGTTTGGTTCCCACCTGACTGAGCGTCACACATGGAAAACATTAAATTAAAAGATTTTAAAAAGAGCTAGCGCCTGGAACTGAAACAAAGTGGACTTGAGTTTAATTTAATACTTTGGCTGGAGTTTATCTTCTTCGCTCTTTTTTACTGCTGAAAGGTCGGCTAAATTTACTGCAATATCGATATATAAACAAATGAATACAATATCCTATATTACTTATTATAACTATAACTTATACACATGTTTTAATATATTGTGTAGTAAAGGCACTGTAAAGGTGTGTGTAGGTCAAAAAGGTTATTCCTATTTGAGAGTCCCAACTATGGATTGATTGGAGAACAGGCCATATTTGCAAAAGCTGATTATTCTTCTTTTGAGAAGTTTTTCCTCCCAACTTGATGAAATTTCACCCTGGAGGTGACTCATTTGTCCAGCTGGACTAGTGGAAGACCTGGAAAAAGATTCAGCACGGTCACCCCCTCCTCTTGTTTGTGTTGCACCTTTGTATTAATGTGGTCCCTTTGCTCGGCACCTATGAGAAGGAAATTGTGTTATGAGTTCAAACAAGTTAAAAATATCCTTATCCTCTGAAGTAAATCAAAACAACATGGCATCCCTAAGTTTATTAATTCCCTACAGCCACTGATTGTCCTCACATGCTTTCTCTTTTTGGACCAATTCAATAAATGCATAAATTGTGTGCAACCTCTAAGAGACATTTTTGCTTTTATGAGAGAGTTTTGCCTCAATCTTGGAGAACAGAAAAGGTGGTCAAACCACTTGTTCATGGGTTATTGTAGTTTAGACTCATTTGCAACTTCTGTTTTCTCTTCTGGAGGTTTCCGTAGACCACTAACCTCAGTGTCATATTCACTGTATCAGCACTGGAATGCAAAACATACTGTGCATATTAATAAAGGCACATTTTGCAATTAACCACAGACATTGCATATTTTCAAGACACATAGAGGTCAAGGTCTGGCATTAGCAGTGGGGTGACAGGCTTCCATATAGGCCCATAGAGAAAGAATACAGAGAACCTGTACACAAGAAGTCAACTGAACAACAATTAAATCCACAGCAGGAAGTGACAGCCTTTTTTTGGGCTCATTTAAAAAAATGTTCACTAGCAGAGTTAGTTAGAATTAATCTCTGGGCACTTTTGCAGATTGTTGTGCACTGAAAACTTTAATATAAGTAATTTTCTTTCTTCTCAGGAACCCTCTGGGCCTTTGTAAAAAAAAAACTGAAGGGCATTGAAGGGGTTAATTAGTTCATGTGCTCCTGCACAACAGGCAATGCTGTCTAAATTTAAGATCCTCAGCAGAAAGCCAGAGGAAGTCGGGATGACTATTGCTTCCCAGCTGAGAGATGCATCTCATCCTCCTGCACGTGTAGCCCATTAACGTTTTTTTCCGTCAATAATTGTGGTTAAACTATCAGGCATCAAGCGAACAGAGACTCACTGTTCTCTCTAAGTTAATAGTGGTTTTCAACCAAGAAAAGCAGACTTCTCACCCACTGGATGCATCATTCTCCGGATGAGCCTGCAGTAAAAAGGTGGGGCTGGATCATCATGTCCATGTGCTTTCTCTCTCTCTCTGGTTAAAGACAGATTTAGCTTAATTGCAGACCAAAACCACTCATGATAACAATGATAGGATGTGGGATTTGTGATTTGGCAGTAGATCAGTGGGTATAATATGTTGTTTCACCAGGATTCGTAACATTTGTATCATGTTTAAATTTCAAAAATGTACTCTGTCCAACTTGAAGTAACAGAAAAGGCCCACAACCTATTTGAAAAGACAGTTCATCTATGCAGCTCACAGCTTTTCTGTATCCACACTCTAACAAACTGTAAACCAAATATTGTTTTCAATCCAGACGGACCATCATGTCAAGCTCTCCTGACACTCTACAGTTTTGTTTCCCCACCCACGGTGACTTTATCCTCTGCAAAATGGATGCTCTAAGAAAGGAGCACCACTTTTGTGATATCACACTACTCCTTGGTGGTCCACAATGCTCCACCGTCCAGCCTTTCCATTTCCACGGTCATAGAGTGGTGCTTGCAGCGTCCTCGGACTTCCTGCGTGACCAGTTCCTGCTTCATGAAGGCCTGGCTGAGCTGAGTGTGGGTGTAGTTTCCAGTGTGGAAGTCGGCAAGAGACTTCTCCTGTCCTGCTACACCGGACTCTTAGAGGTGCAATATCAAGAGTTACAGTACCAAAGCAGAAATAAGGAACAAACATAATGTTACAACAACAAAAGAGTGGGTGTTATGTGATATGAAAGTTAAAGATGACTGTGACAACATTTCTCAGTGGTTGTAGTTTTGTTCTTGCGTGTGTGTTTAAATTGTGTGCCAGTGGAAGTTTGGCATCTTGCACTGTTGTTTTTTTCTTTCTTTTTTTTCTTAATAGTTTTCCTTGATTACCATTATATATCGATCACTGTAGGTCCCTCTGAGAGAGCTGGTGAGCTACCTGACTGCAGCCAGTGCGCTCCAGATGAGTCAGGTGGTGGAGAAGTGTTCCCAGGCCGTCTCCCAGTACCTCAGTCCCACGCTGGCTTTCTTGAAACTGGGGAGAAACTTAGAGGAGAAGGATATCCAGAAGCCTGGCAACCTAAAAAATCTGGACGAAAGGGATACAGCCTCACCCAGTAACTGCATCCAAGAAGCAAGTTCCAAAGAATGGGGAGCAGTTGTAATTCAGTCCAAGTCAGGGTTCAGCCAGGAATCTAAGGTTGATTGTCAAGGACTAAAGGAAGGAAAAGATGATGAGAGAGTGAACATAGAATTATCTGAAGATGAAGAAATTCAGACTGTTTACACAAACAAGTCATCAGATAAATATCACCACATTGCAGGTTCTCTAAAATGTAATCTGCCTCCTCCTACAGATGTCCAGTATGAAGAATTGGTGGACAGTTCTCAGAACCAAGATAAGGATGCAGGGGAAGAGCAAAAAGAAGTGGAGGAAATGTTTTTACTAGCAACTGAACTGCAAGAATGTGGAGAGCGTATGGAGTCTAAGCTACTCTGCCTCTCTGGAGCACCTTTATCAAAGACTCATTGTTCTGCAGATGAGCAGACAGAAGATTCAGACAGCATATTGATCCAGAGGCCCTACCTGTGCAGGAGGTGCGATAGAGTCTTCCAGCACCTAGAGAGCTACGTGGGCCACCTGAAGGAGCACAGACAGTACTTGTGTTTGGTCTGTGGTAAAGGCTTTTCCCAGAAGAGTAACCTGACCCGCCACATACGTGTCCACACTGGTGTCAAGCCTTTTCGATGCCCGCTGTGCCACAAGACATTTTCCCAGAAGGCCATGCTGCAAGACCACTTCAATCTGCACACAGGTGACAAGCCCCACAAGTGTAACTACTGTGCTGTGCACTTTGCACACAAGCCAGGTCTCAGGCGCCACCTGAAGGACATTCATGGTAAGAGCAGCCTGCAAAATGTGCTTGAGGAGGCTGTGGACCCATGATAAAGAGACAGTTTAAGCACCAGATTAGATAATGCAGCTGGTTTTAACTGTTCTATGTTTCAATACTATTTTGGGAGCATGTCAAATAAGGTCCCAGGAAGCACAATAAGCAATATGAGACAGATTATTAGATATTAAAGATAAAGTAAATCAATACATTTTTTTTATTATTTTCGGATTTTTAAAAAACGTTTCAGCAAGATCTCAGCGAACTGATGACCTCACTTTCTGCTACACCCGTGTCTAACATCAAAGTAATGCATTTGCTTGTAACATCTGCCTAATGGGAAGTAGTAAGGGTCCCTCTGTGCCTCCTGCAATGTTTTCTTGATCTCTCTGGGTACAGTACAGTGAATAAAGTCCTGTAGCATGCAGTGTACAGATTTCATTAGTTGTAAGTTAAAGATGTAAGTTGTAAGTGAAGTTGAGTTGTGCATTGTTCCCAACAGTGTGCAGAGTGCTCCTACATTTTATATTGTTTGTGTGTACAGTCAACTAAATGTGTGCCTCTGTTGTTCTACAAGGATATGCTTCTCCAAGAAGAAATAAAATGCCATTATTGTCTAAGCAACTATTTCTTGGCTTGTTTTCTATTTTTTTAGACACACTGAATACTGTAAGAGATGTTTGATGAAGGCAGTTTGCCTGTATACAATTGAGGCTAGGGTTCACAGACAACCATTGCTTCTCCATTTGACCCCAGTGAAATTTTGTGCAGCTCACTGAGCATTATGTTATAAGTGAATGGGTTCTCCCTGCATGGCTGAGAGGGTTTCCATGCTCTCTCACTCCATTCTTTCCCTTCACATCTCTCCTTTTCTTCTTCTTTTATCCTTTCAGCCTAGAAATGTAATTGTCACTCATCTTGGTGAATGGAACAGTAGTTGGTGCCCTCCTTGGGGCATCCAACGCGCAGAGCCACTAACTTGAAATTTGTCGGTCTATGTGCAGACAAATAATGTACGCATGATGGGGTGTTCAGAACAGAAATTAGAGCAAGTATATGTATTGTGTGTGTGACATGAAGGAAGACAGAGACTACACAGAAATATAGTCAAAGGTATATATATAAGATATAAAGTATGTTTAGTGTAGTGTAAATGTACACACATACGCATCCAAACAGCAGAAGTGGCATTTGGGGCACCTCCATTATGAATGAGAGACTATGAGGTTTAAAATATGAGGATGATGAAGATCATATGGAAGATGAAACAATTGTGGTATATAGAGGCGGGGATGAAAAAAGATAAGTGATTAAAATATTGAGAAAGAACATTTTATCCCTCTCTCGCTCTCTCTCTCTCTATATTTATATGTGTGTGTGTGT